CAAAAAAAAAAAAAAAAAAAGAAAAAAAAGAAATGATAATCTGAGGCAACGCACGGTGGATCACACCTGTATGCCCAGCACTTTGGGAGGCCCAGGCGACAACATTGTTTGAGCCCAGAAATTCAAGAGCCTAGACACCAAGGCAAGACCTCACCTCTACAAAAAAAATCAAAAAATTAGCCAGGCATTAAGTCACGTGCCCGTAGTCCTAACTACTCAGGAGACAGGCAGAAGGATCTCCTGAGCCCAGGAGGTCAAAGCTATGGTGAGCTGTGACCATGCCACTCACATTCCAGTCCGGGAGACAGAGTAAGACCCTGACTAAAATAATAATAATAATAATAATCTGGTCAAATTGCACATCAAGTCACTGTAAAAGTCATATCCTGAATTTCTAACAACCATGCCTATAATTTCTTCTTTTTTTTTAATGGACAGATGGGGTCTTGCTATGTCGCCCAGGCTGGTGTTGAACTTCTGGACTCAAGCAATCCTGCTGCCTCAGCCTCCCAGATATGCATCACCATGCCCAGTTTATGCCTATTATTTCTTTAACTAAATTATAAATGCTTTTTTCCGATAGCCAGAAATTAAAACAATTCTGTTCTTAAGTTCTTGATTAACTATTTCACAACGTTGTGTGGGCAAATATTTACTGATTGCGAACTGTATGCCAAGCACGACTCTAGTTGCTTGCGGATACAGCAGCGAACAAGACAGAGCCCTGTTATTTGGTGGAGGGAAGTCAGACAATAAACATGAAACAAGTAAACGAGGTAATTTCATATATTGTTTTGATGTGACAGTAACTGAAGGGTCCACCTGAAATAAGGTGATGGGGACTGGGTATAGTGGCTTATACCTATAATCCCACCACTTTAGGAAGCCAAGGTGGATCACTTGGCGCCAAGAGTTCAAGACCAGCCTAGGCAACATAGCAAGACACTGTCTCTTAAAAAAAAAAAAAAAAAAAATATATATATATATATATATATATATATATATATACTTTTTTAAGAGACAGTGAGTCAATTTAAGTATATATATATATTTAAGTATATATATATTTAAGTATAATATATATATTTAAGTATATATATATCAATATATCAGCCAGTATATATATATATATCAGCCAGGCATGGCAACATGCACCTGTAGTTCCAACTACTCGAGAGGCTGAGGTGGAGGATCACTTGAGCCTAGGAGTTAGAGGATGCAGTGAGCTATGACCTCATCACAGCACCTTTAATTTTTTTTTTTTGAGTTGGAGTCTCACTCTGTCACCCAGACTGGAGTGCAGTGGCCACAATCCACAAAAGTGGCCTGGCCACCATTTTTTTGTTTTTTTTTTTTAATTAAAAATAGGGCCGGCCTCGGTGGCTCAACCTGTAATCCTGCGCTTTGGGAGGCCGAGGTGAGTGAATCGCCTGAGCCCGCGGGTTGGCAACCCGCCTGGGCAACTTGGTGAGACCTCATCTCTACAATAAATCAAAAAATCAGCCGGGCGTGGTAGCGTATGCCTGTAATTCCAGCTACTCGGAAGGCTGAGGCGGAAGGATTGCCAGAGCGCAGCAGGTCGAGGCTGCGGTGGCCGGGAGCGGCCACTGCACTCCAGCCTGGGCGACAGAGTGAGACTCCAACTCAAAAAAAAAATGGGTGATTAGGGAAGGCCTTTCTGAGGAGGCCATATTTGAGCTTAGATCTAAATGATGAGAAAGAAGGATCTGAAAAAGTCAGAGAGGTAGGCAGAGCAGAGTAGATGGTATAGGATTCTGAAGACCACAGTAAAAGAAGTTTAGATCTGAATGCTGTTGCAATGGGATATCACAGGAAGGTTTTAAAGGAGAGGAATGACATCTGTTTATGATACAGAAAGATCATTTTAGATACTCCCACCTAAGAAGAATATCTTCAGAGAGCCTACTTACCTTCTCTAAACTATTTTCCTTTAATGTAAACAAAAGTCTCTTGTTTCACATTGTGAAATAAAAAATAAAATAAAAATATCTCTGGAATAGTTAACAGTTACTTAAATTGGCAAGAGGTCTAAATAAAAATTACTAAATAACTGATATCAGAAGAGAAAAGAGACACAAGATGGCATAAGGAAAATGGACTGAAAAATGGGAATACCAGTCAGGCACAGTAGCTCATACCTGTAATCCCAGCACTTTGGGAGGCCAAGGAGAGACGACTGCCTGAGTCCAGGGGTTCAAGACCAGCCTGGGCAACTTGGCGAGACCATGTCTCTACAATAAATGCGGTGGCTTGAGTGTGCCACTGCCCTCCAGCCTGGGTGACAGAGTGAGACCATGACTCAAAAAAAAAAAAAAACCAAAAAGAATGAGAATACCCAAGACATCTACTAAATAGTTTTTCCTAAAGCTGACTCAGAAACCAAACTCAAACTAAACTAAGTCTAACTGTAAAGAAACATGGACTTAAATTAAAATGAAGCCCAGTGCATAAACTATTATCATTCACCACTTCACCACTCTGCTGAGTATTTCTCTCAAAAGATGTTATTTACAATGAGATAAATACTGTTCATTAAATGTAAACACAAAACAACTACAAATTACCCTTAAACATTTCAGAAAGTTAAATTCCATTCTACCAGGAAAATAGCATCAAAGTTTTAGAAAGCCAAAAGCACTTTACTACACAAACTATATAGAACGCACTTCAAACGAAGTATTGTACTCCAAAAGTTTTTTTTTTTTCTCTTCTCTTAAGAAATCAACAAAGAGACCCGGCATGGTGGCTTATGTCCATAATCCTAGCACTTTGAGAGGCTGAGACAGGAGGATCGCTTGAGACCAGGAGTTTGAGACAAACCTGGGCAACATAGTGAGACCTCATCTCTTAAAAAATAAAATAAAAATAAAAGATATCAGCAAAGGAAATAAATTCAGGCACAAGGCAACAACAGCAGAGGCAAAAAAAACCCAAAAAACTAATTTCTGGCTTCATTATATCTTATTATTGTTGATTTGAAAAAAAAAATTGTAATTGTCGTTTGTGATCCCACAAGGCAGGGATGGGAACCAACTTGTAAATGATATTCCCATACAGTTAAAGCACCAGAGCCTAAAGATGAGGAATGTAAAACCCTTGCATATTTTAGTAAAAATGTTTTAAAACAGGGTGGAGAATATGTTATCAGGCTCACATTAGAACTGCTTGCTATCACTGATGTACCAAGTACATTAAACATTTTTTTACAGAATTAATGATGAAGTCAAACCCCAACTCCACCATCTTACTGAGTAACTAAGTAACTTAACATTTCCCAGTCTTAGTATCCTCATTTGTAAATCAGTGATTTAACAAATCTACTTCTCAGTAGATCTTAAGATACATTTTAAGGAATCATGAGTTGGCTGAGAACCCAGCAGACCCTCAACATGTGAGAGTCTTTGGTGATGAATGCTAGCATATCATGCTGCACGGTCTAATTTTATCTCTTGGCAAGAAAATAACTATTCGATCTGCTATGGGTAAATACAGGTAATACTTTCTTGTCCCTAATAACTTATTTGCATTATTATTCAAAGAACCACAAAACATCTCTCCCAACAACTTTAAACACAAATGGCTCGAAGTGTGGGGCCTATAATTTTGCAAGCTTTATCCATCTGTTCCCTATAAAGCAAACAAATCAAAACATTACAGGGGCAAAGGCAGAAGTGGAATAAGATGTAGGAATGACTGCATGATGGATCTCATTGGTGAAATACCACAGTGAGAAGTAAATGAAAATTCAGATAGAGCTATAAGTGAGAGCGAACCCTCTTCTCAGCAGGAAGCAACAGTGACTTCTAGGCACTTCCTCCTAGGAGACCTGAAATCTTCTGCAAACAATCCATGCTTTAACAGACCTCTTTTCTGCAGTTAAGGCAGCAAGGTAGAAAAATCTCCAAGATGAAGACCCAAAAAGCAGTAACTGAAAAGTAATACACATTCAAAAAGCACATTTCTTGTTTTGATTACCTATGAGAACAACTCGATTTTGTAAAAAGGTATTTCAGGTGATTAAAAAGCAGCCGGATCCCGTTTATATTTTAAGGTATTAGTGATGATCCTGAGTATGGCATCGCACTTGTTTCTAGTCAATATTCAAGGAACCTGTATGTTATTGCCGCAAACAGGTACAGGGAAGCCTGGGTGGTCGCCTCAGATCCACGTAGAGCTCATGTTGCTACTAAACATGCAGGTAAGGCCCTCCTTACTACACATCCTAAGTTTGGGGCACATACATCCAAATCAGGCCCTCTTGATTAAACATCACAAGTTTTAGGTCGGCGGAAAACACAGAATGGCCCAACATATTCCAGCAAAGTAGCTGGATTTACTACAGGAAACCCAGAAATCATTCACCCGTCAAGGCCTGTAAGAAATAAACCGACACGGCAGTCCCCGTGAGGGTTCAGGAAAACCAACCACACACCTTGAAGGCGCCGAAACGAAAGAATACGTCAATCTGTACCGATCAGGGCCCAACGGCCCAAGGTCACACCAAGTCAATCGCTAAAAAAGCCAAGAAACGAGCCTCCTGCAGTTCGAGACAAGCCCGGCCAGGAATGGAGTCTACGTCTGGGAAGCCTCGGGTCAAAGCCTTCCTGGGAACAAGCCCAACCGAATGCAGCGGCTCGGAGGGGGAACCCCCAGCCTCTCGGGCCGTATTTCCTTCCATCTCCCGGTCTTCCCTTCCCCAGACACCCCCCACACTCACATCTCCGGAGCCACTTCATCCAGTGGTAGACGATGGTGCTGTGATGCTTCTTGTTCTCTATACACCAAGACGACAAGCCTTGAATGGATTCCATGGTGTTGGTGACCGACTGGAATTTCCGATCCAACGAGGACTCCAGAGCCCCTGCCGAAGAGGCCGACGAGGAGGAGGCCTTACTGCTGCCTCCGCCGCCGCCGGCCGCCATCTTCCCGGTCTGCACAAGCGCTGCTGCTCCTCTGGCGGCCGCGGCGGCGGCGGCGGCGGGAGCGGGCAAAACAATCACTGCGAGTGCGTGGAAGCCGTAGGCGGGGAGGGAGGCCAGGGGGTGGGGAGGGAGCACGCGCCGGGCTCCTCCGGAGGTGCCGACGGGAACCCCGGCTGCTGGGCGCGCCGGCGGCCCCTGCACGCAGCAAGGAGGGGCTGCGGGCCGCGCAGGCTGTGTCGATATTGTTAAGGGGTCGTGTTTGAACCGGTCAGTAACCACAGAAGGACCACGCAGAGCACAGGACCTGCAGAGCCTTTGGAGACGCCTGGCCTGGAAACGATTCGTTTTACACTCTTCGGCTCTCAAGGCTAAGGCCGTTCCCCGCCCCTAGCCCCACACTCCTGGGAACCAGGACGGGCGTTAATATCTTAAATGTAATACTACCCGACTGCCCCTTCAGTTGCAGAAATCTTTCTCCTTTAGATTCTCTAGCACAGAGAAGGTCCAAGGCTACCTAGTCAGGAAGATTTTTTTTTGCAACGCAACAGCAGTGGGGACAGCAACAGTAGCGCGCACGCGCCACTTGGCTCCGCCCTCTTCCCCCTCCCCCGCTTCCTTCTCAACCTTGAAAGCCGAGGGAGGCGTGATGGCGGGGCGATCTGACCAATCAGGGGTGGAGAACGAGAAGCGCGCGCAGGAGCTCGCAGCACCCAGGGCCGGGGAGGCGCTGCGTCTACTTGAGCGCCTGCGCAGCAGATCGGCGTGTAGCGGGCTGGGAGGAAAAACCCGGAGGGAGGGAAGGGCGAAGGAACTGGTCAAACTGAGGAGAGGTTGGAGGGAGGGACGCCACTGCTCCGCCACGCCCTGCCTTTTGCTTCCTAGCGGGATCGCTCTCTTGCGGTTGTCCAGTTCACACAACAGGGCCGGGAAATTCCCACCGCAGAGAGGCCACTGTTAGTCTTCGCGGCTGTAGCTACCGCCGCCGCCGCCGCCGCCAACTCCTCGGGCCACCGACGCGCGACAAAATGGCTGGCAGCCATCTTGCAGCGTCGCAGAAGATGCGCATGCGCCGCCTCGGGCGAGCCATTCACCACGCAGGCTCCGAGACCCAACGGGATCGCTCGCTCCTCCGGGGCGACGCCATTCACAGCCACTTGGACCGTTTGGATTAGAGGGAAAGAGATGAGGAAGTGAGACGAAAGTGTTCTCTCTAAAACGTGCGAGGCGAGGAAAGAATAAACAGCAAGATGCCACCTCACCTTCATCAGTTAGATGCAATCTCACAATTGCATAATACATTATAATTTGCAAGAGCCTAGATATATATGTTCATTAGCACAACCTCAGATTAACCATTCCATCGCATACTTATGAAGTCTTTTTGTGTGTGTGTGTTTGTTTTGTTTTTTGAGTTGTAGTCTCATTTTGTGGCCCAAGCTGGAGTGCAATGGCATGCTCACGGCCACCGCAGGCTCGACGTGCTAGGTTCGGGCGATCCTTCCACCTCAGCCTTTCAAGTAGCTGGAGTTACAGGCACGCGACACCACGCCCGGCTAATTTTTTTATTTATTGTAGAGACAGGTCTCGAACTCGTGGGCTCAGGCAATCCTCTCACGCCGCCTCTCAAAGTGCTGGGATTACAAGTGTGAGCCACTGTGCCCAGCAACAGGCCAATTTTAGCCAGCATATAAGGAAGTCTGCTTTAACCTTTACAAGAAAAGGTAGTATGAAATAACCAAGACCAGGAGCGGTGGCTAGTATCCTAGCACTTTGGGAGGCCGAGGGGAGAGAATTGCCTGAGCCCAGAGTTTGAGACCAACCTGGGCAACGTGGTGAGACCTTAATCTCTACAATAAATAAAAAAATTAGCTGCACTCTAGCCTGAGCAACAGAGTCAGACTCCAACTCAAAAATAAAAAAGAAATACCCAATCTGCTTTTTGTTTTCTGTTTGTTTTCCTTAGCCCTTTTCTGTCCATAAAAAACAAACTCTTCTGCTTACTTATCAGAACACTAATTTTGTTTTATAGAATGAAGTATTGCCTGATACTAGAATCTCAAATAAAAGCTGAGTCAGATCTTTAACTTAAATTTGTTGAAATTCATCTTTTGACACCAGTGTGGTTGGAAGATACGGGACAAGAGGAGGAGTATTAGGTCTGAGAGGTGAAGGGAAAGAGAGAGTTCATGCAGGCCACTGTAAAGACTGGCTTTTTACACTGAAGTGATGAACCGTTTTATTTTTATTTTTTATTTTTTTAATTTTTTTGCGTTGGAGTCTCACTCTGTCACCCAGACTGGAGTGCAGTGGCTGCTCACGGCCACTGCAGCCTCGACCTGCTGGGCTCCAGCGATCCTTCTGCCTCAGCCTTCTGAGTAGCTGGAATTATAGGCAGGCGCTACCATGCCCGGCTGATTTTTTTATTTATTGTACAGATGAGGGCTCGCCAAGTTGCCCAGGCGGATCTTGAACCCGCGGGCTCAGGCAATCCACTCACCTCAGCCTCCTAAGGCGCAGGATTACAGGCTGAGTCACCGAGCCCAGCTGATGAGCCGTTTAAAGAGGAGTTTTGGCCAGGTGCGGTAGCTCATGCCTGTAATCCCAGCATTTTGGGAAGCTGAGGTGAGAGAACTGCCTGAGTTCAGGGGTTCACGACCAGCCTGGGGAACATGGTGAGACCTCATCTCTACAATAAATCAAAAGTTTAGCTGGGCATGGTAGCACGTGCCTGTAATTCCAGCTACTTGGAAGGCTGAGGTGGAAAGATCACCTGAGTCCAGCAGGTCAAGGCTATGGTGGCCATGAGCATGCCACTGCCCTCTAGCCTGGGCGAAGAGTGAGACTCCAACTAAAATGATGGTAGCTTGGTCCAGGGTGGTAACCAAAACAAAAACAAAAAACAATGACAAGTGGTATCAGATCCAGGATATATCTTGACATAGAACCAAAAGGATTGCTCATGGATTTAAGTGGGGCATGAGGTTTTTGATCCAAGCAACTAGAGCCATGTTTCTTAACTTTTTTAACCATTATTTTTGTTCCTCTAAGTATCCTTTCCAGATCTTTTTTCCCCCTAATCCTCCCAGTCTCCATGAAATTTTAATACCACATTGCCTGGCCTATTTACTTAAACTGTAATTTGTAAAATTAAATATGCAAATTACCCATTTAAATAAATATACTAGCAATGTAACCACTTTCCTAAAACATCATTCAGTCCGGGCACAGTGGCACATGCCATCCCACTTCTTTGGGAGGCAGAGCCAGAGGACTGCCTGATCCCAGGGGTTTGAGACCAGCCTAGGCAACGTGGTGAGAACTCATCTCTCCAAAAAAATGTTAAGATTAGCCAGGCATGGTGGTGCGCGCCTGTGGTTTCAACTAACTGGAAGTCTGAGACAGATGGATTGCCTGAGCCCAGCAGGCCAAGGCTGTGGTGACCATTATTATGCCATGGCACTCCAGCCTGGGCAACAGAGACTTCAACTCAAAAAAAGACCAGTGACGGCAACATAGTGAGACCCCATCTCTACAAAAAGTTTAAAAATTTTAAAAGAATTAGCCAGGCATGGTGGCATGTGCCTGTAGTCCCAACTATTCAGGAGGTTAAGGAGGATCACCTGAGCCCAGGAGGTCAAGGCTGCAGTGAACTGTGATCATGCCACTGTACTTGGTGCCTAGGCGACAGAATGAGTCTCAACTCAAAAAAAGGTAAAACATTGAAAAAAAAATTAACTTTTACTTAATAAGAAATAGCTAGCCGGGCTCGGTGACTCAGCCTGTAATCCCGCGCTTTGGGAGGCTGAGATGAGTGGATTGCCTGAGCCCACGGG